TAGGGTGGACAGGAAGCAGTTAAACAAATGTTTAAAACTATCACAAAATGCAATGTACATGGTAAATTATATAAATGCAGCTAGCTGTACTTCTCAAAATACTATCATGTAAAGTCACCAAAAAATACAGTAACACCCTGGAATATTTACATACAGTAGGGATTTAAATTTATAATTTCTTCATATTTTTCGTTTAGGATTATCATGTTTCGCAAGACTATCAGAATTTTAAGTTAAGTCTAAAGCCAAAACATTTTTTATCTGCAACTGAGGCCAAGAGCCAATATCTGAACTATAATTGTTTATAAATGTTATTTCTTGGTATTTGCCCTATGAAACATACACTTAAAATGCAATCCATTACTAAAGAAATTTGGAGGCTGCCATTGATAATTTATTTCTGAATGTCATAGCTGCCCAAATGACATGATGATCCTGAAGCTTTTCATAGACACTGATTTGTAACAAGTATGTAAATCAGGAACCCTGGTTTCACCGACTTCATATTTGTTTTGGATCCATAATTCTAAATGCTTTGAAGAATAACATTAAAGCTTGGGACCTAGCATTGTCATCTGGAGGTTAACTGTAGCCTCTGTTTCCTCATTAAAATGCTTCCCTTAAGTAGTTGAAGCCCATTTGGACTAGACAGTCAGTCAGACAGGAAACTGCAAAAACTGCTATAACAGGAACATGAAGGAAAATGGAGATTGTTATTAAAATGTCCATTGGATTTAAATATCTTTTTACAGAGATCCTGAACTGTGGACACTCTGACTGAAAAGGCAAGCAGAAGGCAAATGTCAACAATGATGCCCAGTATTGGTCCCTGCAGCTGGTCTTTTCTCCATTATTGACTTATTCCCCATCATGCCCTATTCTGCACTGCATCTCTGTGTGGAGGTATTTATCTTAGTAGGGTATCATAGATTTGTTTCGACATAAAATAATGTCAGAACATTCTGACAACTGGTGGGTGGGTATTCAAGATTCAACAGGAGAAGTTAGAGCTTTTTGGCCATACTTCTCTTCTGGTTCACAGGAGTGCACTTACTTTTGCTCTCCTGTGAACCAGAATCAGCTAAAGCCCACTGTCAGCTGACGTCACAGAGCTGTTCCAGGCCCTGGAAAAATCCCAACCATATTTTTGGGATCCACACAGATGCCTAATCAGCAGCTGGTTCAGCATCTCAACGTACCTCTAGCTAGCTGCTCCCACCCTCTCCCCTGCCCAGTGCTAAAGTGAGTGCTGGAGGGGCAGAGCAGAGAGCAGTAACTGACACTCACCACACTCCTCTCTGAGTGGACTGAGAACTGGACAATCAGGTCATGTGACAGGGACAGCTGCAGCATCAGACCAATGTTTTATCATGAAGGTGAGTATGCACAGTATGTTTGTTTTTTGTTAAACCCCAAACTTCTCTTTTAACCACTTGCCTACAGGGCACTAATACCCCCTTTGTGCCCAGGCCAATTGTCAGCTTTCCGCGCCATTGCACATTGAATGACAATTGCCCGGTCATATAACATTGTATCCATATGAAATGCGTTGCCGGCAGGACGGACATGTCTCCCTGAGGCTCCGTACCACAGCAGGGACGACAGCCGCCCAAGCACGGATCCCGGCCCGCATACATAAATAAACGGCCTCGGTCGCCATGGCAACCCCCCTGACCCAAGCCAGCATGGTCAGGGTTGTGTCCTGACACCAGGCTCCACCACCCAGCAAGCCCATCAAGGAGGCCCTGGCTCGAGCCTCATCCAAAATAGCCACCGCAACTGCACCCTGCAGCAAAAATTCTACACAACAATATGCAGCCCTGCAGACAGCTCATCCCAGTCTCTCCTACACATCAGATGGTGAGTCAGACATTGACCAGGAGACCCCTACACACACTCCCACCTCTGACCTTGCATTGCCTGACCTCCTCATAAGATTTGAAAAGATGCTACATAAAGCCCTTAAACAAATATCTGACCGCATCACAGACAAGCTGTCCAGGGAAATTTGCGAATAGGGGCAACGCACCGCTGACTTAGAGCAGAGGGTTGATGACCTTGACACATCTTGCCAGACACATGCAGATGATCTTGACCTTCTGCGTGAAGAAAATGCGACATTGCAATCACGATTCAGGACTTTGAGAACCGGGCTCGCCACTCAAATGTGCGAATCCGTGGCTTCCCAGAATCGATTGTTGACATCCAATCCACCGTCACAGCCCTATTTCAAGAGCTTGCCCCAGCTATCCCAATAGAACGCTTAGAAATGGATAGAGTCCACAGGGCACTAGCTCCACGACGCACCGACGGCCCCCAATGCGACATAATCACCAAGCTCCACTTTTTTTGCACCACAGAACAACTTCTACAAGCAGCCCGCAATACAGGATCTTTAACATTCCAAGGTCACCCCTACCAACTGTTCCAAGACCTTTGCCCTACTACCATTGCTAAACTCAGGACTATGAAACCCCATCTGCAAGCACTCCAGCAGCATGGCATTCCATATAAGTGGAGCTACCCCTTCGCAGTACGCTTCCGCTTCTGAACTCGGGATTATACCTGCAAGACCCCTGAAGATCTGCTGGACATGCTACTAAACCTCCAACTACTGCCGCCAGCAACCTCATCAGTAGGTCCCCATCGGCGATCGATGTCCTGTTCCCCGCAAAAGTCACACCCTTCACACCCCACCACAGGTCAACTGAACACCCACAAACGAGGACGCTTCTCCTCACTGGCTCTGACTCATCAAGACTCCATGGACTGAGTCTGACAACTGGTATGGACCCCACCACCTACACACCATCTGCCTACGTCAATCCGCAGACCGAGTATTCTCGGTATCCATCTCTTCATACACTTCACCCAGTTGAAGGCATCCTGTATCCTTGCACTAGCCCTTAGGGCCCTTTTTCATTGGGAAATGTTTTCCCACAAGTTAACGTTTATCTGGACTCTTATCTCTATTTTTGTTTTTGAGAGCTTTTTGTGATACAATTTTCTACTTTCATACTTTGTGTTAATGGTTATATTTATCCACCTGCATAGGAACCCCAGTCCTGGCTACACATGTTGCCGGTATACCCTAAATCCACACTGGTTTACATTGACAGCTCGTGTCGCCCGGACTCGGGGTTCCTCGATTCCCACTGGGTACGCAATCTCCTGCCTTGCCCACAGGATCCAAATACTGTTTATTCATTTTTTTATGCTGTCGTCGCCGGGGTGTGCTACTGTGCACTCACCACTAGCCCTAGTAGTATTGTAGTTTTAATACTGCTTGGGCTACACACCCGCTCCCTGGACCAACCCATCATTGGGAGACCCCAGGGACCATACCTTAGGCCAGAATGGCCCTCCACAACCCCCCTCTGACACACCTTCCTAAACCTATCCTCTTCCCCTCCCTCCCACATGACTCTTTAGACCCTCCTCTTCACTGCTACTCAACCCCCCCCCTTCCCAAGGTTACCTGACTCCCATCCAAATGAAGACCATCCATCATTTATTACACCATTCATCCCCTCCATGGGTTCCCTGAATATACTCACCCTGAATGTTCAGGGCCTCAACATACCACAGAAATATAATAAAGCCTTTAGCTCATTTGCATCTTACAAAGCCCACATAGTATGCTTGCAAGAGATGCATTTCACCCCCACATCTACTCCTAAATTTTTTGGCCCTCATTTCCCTCAGGTCCACGCAGCCTCTGCCGCAACCAAGCACAGGGGTGTACTCATCGCCTTCCACCGCACAACTCCTTTTATGCTACATAACGAGATTAAAGACCCTGAAGGGCATTATCTCTTACTAACAGGGCAGCTACTGGATACAGAAATTACCATTGTAGCTTATTACGCACCTAATCTAGGTCCATTGCCATTCCTCTCCCACCTGCTTTCGGTCATCGATTACCACAAACGCAGTACCCTGTTTACCTGTGGGGAATCAAACTGCACCCTGTACCCCTTCCTCGATAAATCCCTCCAACCCCCCCTCCCAACAGTCCCCAAACAAAACTTCCAAACCTTATTACAGCGATACTCCCTGATTGACACCTGGAGAGAACTCAACTCGATAAAACGCCAGTATACTTTTTACTCTCATCCCCACAAAACAGTCTCAAGAATAGACCACATCTTCATGACTGCTAGTTCCTCCACTCGGCTAGTGGCTTCCGAAATCATCCCCATACCCTAGTCGGACCACAGCGCGGTACTAACATCCATTGCCTCTTTGGCAACCTCACCTCCTGACTCCTCTTGGGTCATTAATGACAACCTGCTAACTCACCCATCGCATTGCTCAAATATTGAAGCTGCTCTTAAAGACTACCTATCTTTAAATAAGGCCCCAGATATCTCCCCCCTCCTTCTTTGGGAAGCGCATAAACCGGTTTTGCGTGAGTTCTGCATTAGCAAAGCATCCTTTCTAAACAAAGAGAAAAGACAGCAATGCTACCACCTTGAACAGGCTTCTAAGCAATCTCATTAAGCCTTCCAGGCGACCCCCTCCCCTGCTAACCGAAAAGCCCTAGAGCAGTCAAGATTAGCTCTTGACCTTCTCCTTACGGACCAGGCAGAACTATTGCTGCACCCCCGCATAAATATTATACAAAAGCTAATAAACCTGGCTCGTTTTTAGCCCTCTCGCTCCGTAGACTTGATCAGATTACCAAGCCTATCCGTTTACGCATCTCCCTGGCAACTTCACTAGCAATTCGGAATGCATCCTGCAAGTCTTCCACAAACATCTCTTGCAACTCTATTCTCCCTCTACACCGTTCGACCCATCTCATGCTGAAACCCTTTTAGCCCCCCTCTCCCTACTGAAAAATCAGATCACCAGCTATCAGCCCTAGAGCAATTGATTACCCCAAATGAAACTTTGAACGCTATTAAGAATCTAAAGTTGCGCAAACGCCCAGGCCAAGACGGCTTCTCTGCAACCTGTTATAAAAAATTTGCCCATCTCCTGTCGCCTATCCTTACAAACAGGGGCGGACTGACAACTCATGGGGCCCCTGGGCAGTAGGGGATCATGGGGCCCCTGTGCCCTTGCCCAAACTCAAAAAAAACTATGAAAAAGGTACCAGGGGCATCTCATGGGGCCCCCTACTGACCCCGGGCCCTCGGGCAGTGCCCGAGTTTCCAAATGGTCAGTCCACCCCTGCTTACAAATGCCTTCAATGCAATCCGATCAAGCCACACCTTCAACCCCGAAACAGTAGCAGAGATCTGGCCCACCTGAAAAAGATTCTTCCATTGTCCTGGTCACAGCTTTCTATCCCTTTCCTCGGTATAAAGCTGACCTCCAATCTATCGGATCTATACGCGGCTAACTACACACCCATGCTAACCCATCTCACAACCCTCATGACCAAATGGTCCTCTCTACCCCTGGCCTGGCTGGGTATAATATCGGTCATTAAGATGTCAATACTCCCCAAAATCCTGTATTTATTCAGAGTTCTCCCAATCCCGGTTCCCACACACTACCTCCGCATTCTACAGCGTCGTATATATTCACCTATGTCTTGAGTCCTACTCGCCCCTGCATATCCTGCTCAACGTTGAACCAATCTAAGCTTACAGGTGGCCTTGGCCTCCAAGATATTAGTAAATTCTACCAGGTGGCGCACCTTGCACAACTCCCTAAGTACCATGCAACCCACGAAATTCCCCAATGGGTCATCCTCGAATCCATAGAATGTGACCCCCTTTCTACCGCTAACCTTTTATGGCTCCAACCCGTAGACTGTCGCTCAATATCAAACCCTATCACTTCCCACTACATGTCACTATGGGATAAACTGAAATCCTGCTATCTCTTACAATCACCACATATCCCCTTGCTCTCATACCTCCGAAATCTGGCTTTCCCCCTGCTTTGTCATCACCACTCTCTTTCAGACAGTGGACCTCTGCCAATCTTCTCCGGGCCCAACACTTCTTGATCAGGAATAAATTCAAATCCTTTCCTTTATATCGTGAGACACATGGCCTACCAGCCTCGGAAATATTCTGATACTTGCAACTACAACACTTTTACGCTCCATACACTATAACAGCCCGCCTGGCCATCTCTATGTCTCCCTTTGAACGAGCATGTCACAAAGACCCGCACAGGTGAGGCCTCATCTCATGTCTATACTCCTTCCTCACAACCCCTGATACTGCACCCTCCCCCCATATGTCCGCAGATGGGAGATGGACCTTGGTCGCCAAATGGACTCCTCAGATTGGGATCTTATATGGTCTAATACCAAATCATCATCACAAAATATAGCAGCCCTGGAAACTAACTATAAAGTCTTAACCCGCTGGTACCTGGTCCCAGCGAGAATTGCCAAATACACACCAAACTACTCCCCTGACTGTTTTACAGGTTGTGCGATGGCAGGTACACACTTCCCCATCTGGTGGACATGCCCGATAGCCCAAACCTTTTGGGCTTGCAATTTCAGCATCTTGACTAGACTTAGCGCTCTAAAACACTAAAGCCTGACCCAATCACAGCGCTCCTTAACCAACGCCCCCCCTGGCATCACTAAACCACAATTCAAACTTATCTCTTGCAGGTAACTATGGCAGCTAAACAGATCATAGCAAAATCCTGGAAATCTCCCTCTCTAAGCATCATAGCAGTAAAGAACAAGGTTACACAGGCTATGATCCATGCTAAACTGGAAGCCACAATACTGGACACTGTCCCCAAACTCCTGAATATCTGGAACCCATGGGTAGAATGCTTCCTCCCATCAAACTTTGACGACTCACTCCTTCTCCCTTGATATTCCCATGCACTATGTGCTGCCTCAATACCAGGTCGACCTACATTGCATTAAATCTTAAGCATCACTGTATCACTCTTGGAGTCACTTACCTCCCTCCTCCCTCCTCCATACCCATTCAGACCCCCCCTATTAGTACCCTCCTCTCCTCCCTCCCACGACCCCCCCTCCCCCTGACCTTCTACAATAGGCTTACATTTTTTTTTTACCCCAAATCCCCTACAATATTTTGTTTCTATTCCCAGGAAAATATCTTGTCTGTATTTGAACATATTGATTTTGCTCATCTCCAGTTACTGTATTTGAAATGCACCATTCATGTATCTGTGCCTTCCTCCCCTTCCCTATAAAGCCACTAATACCGCAGCCACTAATGTTTATACACTCACGTATGCAGAATGTCTTCTACCTGTTTCCAATCCCTTGTTAAAATGTTAATAAAATATTTGAACAAGAAATTTTTGTTGTTTTTTTCACACAAATGCAGCTTTCTTTTGGTGGTATTTAAAAAAAAAAAAGCAAACAAATTTGAAAAAAAAGTTTTTCTTTGTTTTTATTATAACATTTTGCAAACAGGTACTTTTTCTCCTTCACTGATGTGCGTTGATGAGGCTGCACTGATAGGCAGCACCAATGGACACTGATAGGCAGTACTGATGGGCACTGATGAGGTGGCACGGATAGGCAGCACTGATGGGCACTGATGGGTGACACTGCTGGGGGCACTGATGGGTGGCACTGCTGGGTACTGCTGGGAGGCACTGCCAGGGGGCACTGATGGGTGGCACTGCTGGGAGGCACTGATGGGGGTCACTGGTGGGTGGCACTGATGTGAGGCACTGCTGGGGGACACTGGTGGGTGGCAAAGCTGGGCATTGATGAGAGGCACTTCTGGGCACTGGTGGGTGGCACTGCTGAGCACTGATGGGAGGCACTGATGGGCACTGGTAAGCAGCACTGCAGGGCACTGATCATCAGGGCACTGATCATCACCTGAGCTGTTGATACAAGGCAGGATGATCCATGCTTTCATGTTGTTTACACCAAATTCTGACCCTCCTATCTGAATGTCGCAACAACCAGTCTGGCCATTCTCCTCTGACCTCTGATATCAACAAGGCATTTTCTTCCACACAACTGCCACTTAGTGTATATTCTCACTTTTTCAGTCCATTCTCTGTAAGTCCTAGAAATGGTTGTGCGTGAAAATCCCAGTAGATCAGCAGCTTTTGAAATACTCAGACCAGCTCATCTGGCACCAACAACCATGCCATGTTCAAAATCATTTAAATCCCCTTCCTTCCCCATTCTGATACTTGGTTTTAACTTCAGCAAGTCGTCTTCACCCCGTCTGCATGCATAAATGCATTGAGTGTTTGCCATGTGACTGGCTGATCAACAATTTGTGTTACCAAGCAGTTGAAAAGGGGTACCTAATAAAGTGGCTCCCTACCCAAAAATTCAAATCACATATATATACGTAATTTCGCGCAGCCCTGCCACCCTGTAGCAGTAGTTCTACTATAGGGCGGCGGGAAAGTGGTTATAAAATAGCACATCTTCATATTTTGAGCTGAAACCCACCTTAAGCTTTACATGCACAGTATTGGTCAGAAAGGATTTTTGTAAAGATATATGAAATTGTCTCCAAATATAAACATACGAAATTTGTAACTTTATATTAGTTGCATCATAATTGTTACTTTAACCTCTGCAACTGGTGAACACAATCACCTCATCAAATTCTCTGTTTTCATGTACATGCTGAAAAACTTTTACAGTTTAGGAAAGTACATTACAATAGAAAGAACGTATTCAGCAGTAAGTCTGCCACTGGAAAATTCTGTTTTAACAATGGTAAACATAATAACGTTAGTTGTGGTAACAGTGTCATTCTCAAATGCCTCACCATTTTCCCCTTTAGAAAATATGTAAGCCTCAGAAAATGAATTATGTACACTGCAAGCCAAAGAATGTGCTTACCCAAATCTGACTCATATCAAAACTCCCTGTCACAGTAGTTCAATGCCAGTACAGAGAAGAAGAAACAATCTGAAGAGCATAAACTGGCCTCCATGTATAAATTAGGTGGTATTACCAACCACACTACAATAGCTTGGAATATTTACATTAATAAAGCCACATAATTATAATTATAGAATAACATTTCACATTGGACAGGAAACCAATTATAGCTGCCCATTTCAGCAATAAATGTCTCTGCTTGAAAGCCAACAGAGAAACAAAAATACTTTAGGCCCTGATTTTAGGTTATTGGCTCGTTTTAAATTGTCTAGATTATATAGGCTAGGATTTTCTTGCCATATTTCCAATTTAGAATCACAGCCAATCTCTTTTACAAACAGATTGTCTGCAATATTTAGGATTATTCTTGTAGAAAAATGAAATATACAGCTGGCAAGCTACTTTCCAACAGTATTTGGTCATTAACTTGTGCTATTTTATACTGTATGGGAAAATACAGACAAAAGAGCACATTGTATGTAGTAAGTACCGCAGTTCTAAAAGGGATAACTATTGGCTTCTTAAGGGCAATATACTAAGGTTTTGTCCATGTTTTCCTTTTTCATTCACTCTGGTCATTACTAAAAAAAAAACTACAAGTGCTTAAATGTGAGGATATTTTTCCTCCCTTCTTATCCCAGTAACAATGCTGTCACCAGGAAACAATGGAAAATCTCCAATGTGGACATCAAAATCTGTCTGCAATGCTAGCTTTCCCATACATTTGAAAAGAGTGTTTTTATTTCTTTTTTTTTTATCATTCTTGGAAAGAAGTAGGGCTTGGACAGCAGGATGTGTACTCCAGTGTGGAGTGCAAGCACCCCTCTAGTAGGAAATCATCTTCCCACCACAACTGGATGTGATGTCAAAGAACAAGGGAAGTGACACACCTGGGGATGGAAGAAATGGGGTTGATAACCTGTAATGCAGGGTTGATCGGTGCATTCTGATGGCATGAAAGTCTCTTCATGATCAGAATACAATAGCACAGTGTGAGCGCTCCCCCCATTCACATTGAGAGTGGAGGATTCAAGTCAATTTCTGTCGTTCAACCAAAAAAAAAAAATGACTCCTGTATGGCCAGTCTTACCTTAGCCTTCACATTCTCATGTATGGACAGAGTAAGGGTTTTCCTCACCCAATTTTCTGTTTAGTAGCAAACCTCAGGAAACAGGTAGGAGGATAACCAGGCCCAAATCTAGAAGTTCTAAAAGGCAATTTTAGTGTATTTTTTACAAAAGCATTGTGGTGATAAACTGCCATATTGTGTTGCAACTATTGTAAGATGTACAAAATCAAGAGAACAAATATTTAAAACTATAGATTCTGGATTCCAGTTTCCAAAAAATACTGAATCTAATGGGTATTTGTAAGT